AGCGAATGATGACGTAAACAACTCGACACCAAGGCTCCCAAGAGCGAGCGGCAACGCAACAATCACCACTGTTGCCCATTGCTGGCCCCCCTCCTCCCCCAACCTCCTTATCACCCGCAGGGTGATCGTATAGGTAATGCTATCGAGATCGAGAGTGAGATCGATAACGATATCGATCACAACATATCTGTGGCTGTGGGTGCCCCGCCGTGGCTGGGGGTGCCCCATCGTGGTGTCACGATGGTGGCTCGTGAGATTTCTTGGGAGGTCGGTAGTGAGAACTCTGATGAGATCCATGGTGAGATCGACCGTGAAGTCGATCGGGAGATCGATAGTGCGATCGATACCGAGAGCGATGGAGAGATCGATGGTGAGATCGATTGTGAAATTCGTGGGATCGATGGCGCTATCCCATCGCCAGCACAGGTCATCGCAGCTGTGGTCAGTGGGTGCTCCGCTCCCCCCTAAACCTCCCTACCACCCGAGGCGTGGTCGTATATAGGTAATACAGCTCGAGGCGTCTACCTGGCTCTCCTCAGCCGGCGTGGCCTTTCGTCACGGCGCTGCAGGACTACAGTCAAAACGTGTATTAAGGACGGATGGTAAGGACGCAAGACCCTTGGAGGCCGAAGTTGGGATTTTGTGGGCGGCGGGCGACCAGTGATAATGGCAAGGACGTGCCTCAGAGGCATGGACACAAGGGTACCCTAGATGAAGGCGCGGCGTCCTCACTAGGCGCGTTGACTGTAGCAGGTCATCAGTCTCCGAGGCATCCTCCGGCCTGCTTTCCCAAGGGCCTGCGCGCGCCGCCTCGCAGCCGTCCGCAAACGCATCCACAACAGACACAACATGTCCTCCTCCTCCTCCGCGTCCCCTTCCTCCGCCCGCTCCTCGACCCCCTCCCCCTCGCCATCCTCCTCCTGATCCTCACCCTTCTGGTCGTGGCCATCCCCCCCACCCTCGCCACGGCCACGCCACCCTCCCAGTGCGCTTGCTCCACCTCCCCTCCCCTCCCCCTTCTGATCGTCGCCACCCGCTGCACCCCCTGATCCGACCTCCTCCCTCACAGCCTAATGCTCCCCATGCGCCCCCCTCATCCTCCCCGTTCCGCACCCCCCATCCCTCTCCGTCCCACACCGGCACTTCCTCCTGATCCTCCTCTTTCTCCATATCCGCGTTCTCCTGCCCCAAATAATCCCAAACCTCCCCCTCCTCCTCCTCCTCCTCCTCCAAAACCCGCATCTTCCCACTCCTCCTCCTCCTCCTCCTGCTGCTGCTCCTCCTCCTCCTCCTCCTCCTCCTCCTCCTCCTCCTCCTCCTCTTCCGCATCTTCATCCTCCAGACGGTCCTCCCTTCCCTCCTCCTGCCGCTACCCATTCTTATCTCCCTTTCTCCGCCTTCTCCCCCTTCTACTCACTTCCATCCCGTCTCACTTCCCCCCCTCAGCCTTCCTCCCCCGTCCTCCCCTACATACGCCCCCCCGGATGTTGGGGATAAGCAGTTCACAACACACCCCCAGAGAGAAAAAGAGAGACGGCAGGATAGAGAGAGAGAGAGAGAAAGAGAGAGAGCGAGACGAACAGGCAGACAGGCAGAACGAGCGCAGAAAAAGGCAGGCCACCCTCTTTGGAGCTTGGCGGGAAGATGATGTCGGAAGCGCCTGCGCCCCTCCTCCCAGGGAGCGGGGAGGACGAGGCGGAGGCAGAGGGACGGGGGCCGCGAGGGTGAGGGGGGGGGCACGAGCAGCGACGCTTCCATGCCTTGCAACCTCGAGGGGCAAACGCGCCTCCGCTGGGCGCCGCCCGGCGGCCCCCGAGGCACCCGAGGGGGCGGGAGCCGAGCCTCCCGGCGCAGCGGAAGAGCGCCTGCTTCCCCCTCTGGGCGGCGCCACGGCCAGCGCCGCGCTCCACGGCGACCGGCGCGGCGGGATGCGCGTGCAGGAGGAGGAGGAGCGACACTGGCCAGCAAGGCGAGGGCGGACAAGGGAGGAAAGGACGATCCAGGAGAGGAAGAACGAGAGAAAGCAACCAAAGGGAGACCATCCGCTGCCCTTCAAGAGGGCTATACCCCGACATCGGACGGCGAGGCGAGCCACGGCGTAGACTCATACATTCAGGAGGACGGGAGGGAGGAGGGAGGAGAGAGGAGGGAGGAGGGAGGCGGGAGGAGGGAGGGGGGAGGAGGGAGGAGGGAGGAGGGAGGGGGGAGGAGGGAGGAGGGAGGAGGGAGGAGGGAGGAGGGAGGAGGGAGGGAGGGAGGAGGGAGGAGGGAGGAGGGAGGAGGGAGGAGGGAGGAGTCAGGCAGGAAGCGCGCGCCACGCTTCCTCCGCGTCGGGTTCCGCGGGGGGGGGGGGCTTGGTGCTTCTTCCACTGTGAGCAGCACCTCGCCATCGCTCGGACGTCCATTCCCTGTGTTTTTTTCGGTTTCGTGCGTGGTTTCTTCGCCAAATGATCAAGGATGCTCCTCGATGGCCCTCGCCGAAGGAAAAATGCACACGTCCGAGGGAGCGTCGAAGAAAGCTGGCCGCGAGCCAAGAAAACAACACGCGCTGCTGAGAAGCGGGAGGAGGCACGACGACAACAGGATCAGGGACGACACCAGAAGAAGCAGCAGCTGTGGGAGACGGGTGGAGGAACTACGATTCGGGAGAGACAGGACGGCTATGCCATGGCCGCACTAAGAAGGGTGGCTATGGCGCCTTCTCGAATATGTCACGCGCGCGCCCCTCGCCATTGAAGAGCTGGAGAGAAGACATGCGCACGAGGAGGGGACGGCGGATGAGGAGGGAGGGAAGAGGAGAAGGGAAAGGAGATGGAGCAGGAACAAAGGGGGGAGAAGGGACGGATGAGGGGAGGAGGCCTCGTCTGAGGCCTCGCGGAGGTGTCTCGCTGACGAGACGGCGGTGCCATGTTTGGAGAGCAGACTATTCAGGTGATCCTGCCCAACAGTCCTCCTCTTGCCCCTCGCCCGACGTGCGCCTCGACTGCCCCTTGCCCCTGACCCTTCCTCCTCCAGCATCCTTCTACACCTGCCACTGGATAATGAGTACAGTCGAGCATAGGACAGAAGAGCATCCCTCAAGAACACGATACCTTCCGCCGCCCAGAACACACAGAGCATCCGAGGGCACCCTACCCAGGGTGCAAAAGACCATCCGAACACACACGAAGAACATCAGGATACCATCCCCGAACAGACCTCAATCGTATACCGCGGTCCGACCGTAGAACCCCCCCCTCCTCCACTTGAAGCAGCCGCCTGCCCGAATCACCATGTGGGCCCCCTCCGGCCATCCCTGACAAAAGACTCTGTGCACGTGGCGGCAAATCTCGCGCCAGTATCACTTTCGCTAGTGCCGCTTGCGCCGCGGTGTCTGCGTGCGCAATGAACCAAGCAATGGGCAAGGGAGTGGGCTCACAATATGTTAACCCTGTGCGGGCACCTCTTCATCGCACAGCACGGTGTTCGGCAGATGCATCAGCGGGCTTATCATGCGTGTGTGGTAGCCCATCGCTCCTGTCAGAATCCGGTGCCAAGCGAGCGAGGACGCACACGCGCACTCAGACCAGAACCAATGCCGCGCCATGACTTCACCGGGGGAAATTCGTCTGGGATGGCAGGGGACTCTGCGCACTGCCCGAGGCAGGCGCGGGCCGCCCTCCGCGCGCGCGCGGCGCGCACGCCGCACGCCGCACGCGGCACGCCCGCAGCGCCCGGAGCACGCGGCACGAGCGTTGCACCCGGCACGCCCGGTGCGGAGCTGGAGCGCCGGCAGCACCAGGCACGCTCAGCGCGCCCTGTCTGGCCATCGCTCGGACGTCCATTCCCTGTGCTTTTTTTCGGTTTCGTGCGTGGGTTTTTCGCGAAATGATCCAGGATGCTCCTCGATGGTCCTCGCCGAAGGAAAAATGCACACGTCCGAGCGATGCTATAGGCTGTGTTGAGGGGCAGCGATGGCCCGGGGCCATCGAGGCACAAACAATGACATAAGTTATGAACTTGCGGGAGTCCGTGCAGATTTCTCGGATCGGCGCTGGAGCGCCTTGGCGGCGCCTTCGGCTCCGCCCTGGAGCGCCGAGGAGGGGGTGTCCAGCACGCACCCAGTCAATCCACCTGGTCCTCCGAAAGCTTACGCTTTTATGTCGTTGCTTGCTACTACAAACTAAGCGTATGGGTGGGATGCGTCGACCTCGAGTGGCCGATGCGTCGCCAATGTGCTGCCGAGGCGTCGTCGACACAGACAGGTGGCGCGCTCGGCGCCTTTGCACTACAGTCGGGGCCCTGAAGAAGGAACCCTTTTCGTTGGGGAGGGGCTCCGCGTTCCTTAAGTGTTTCGCAGCTTGCCTCAGGCTTTCCTTATGTTTTCGACGGGAAATCGAAGATTAACTTATGGAAAAAAGATGCCTCGTTCCTTATTTAGGGTTCCTTAGGTCAACGCCCCGACGGTATGTCGTTGGGCCAGGTGGGCGGGTGCCCTCGACGAGCTTAGAAGTGGGCCGCGGCGCCGGCGCCGAAGCCGATCGACGGCAGTCGACGATGATGGACGCAAGTCGGCGCTATCCATTCGATTACCAGACGCTCGTCGACGTCAGTGCACTCGAAAGACGGCGTTGCGTAGGAATGCAAGGCCCCCATGATTTGCGAACGAAGTACAACGCCCATGTTCACCACAAAGTGGCCGTCCGTTGGATGGCTAATTACCACTGACACGCTCGAGCAGGGGAAAGCGGCACCACCGCCACCAGCGCGAGGAGCTGGGCGGGGTGGTCCCCAACTCATGCCCTGCTCGAGGCATCTCTGGTGTCCCGCTTGTGGGGGGCATCTCCTTGCTGCAGGGCTGCAGGTGCCCCCTCCTTGTGGGGTCGCTTTCCCCTCTTCCGACCAAAAGGGGGGCAACGGATGCTGTCTGCTTTCCAATTTCTCCCACTTCACAGTTGGAGTGCACACGTGGAGCTGTGGACGACAGCCATGTGCGATACGCGTTCACACTGTTATGGACCATAGGATATGTGCGATGCTCGTGTGCGCGAGCGCCCACGAATTTTTCTCATAGACGTCTGCCCGAACAGCCGAGTGCGTCGGCTGCCAGCCGTATGGGAGAGACCGCACACTCACTTCCCCGCGGTCCACTTCCCCCTGGAGGTCACCAGAGGTGTCCCTGGACCAATGTAAGTCAAGCTCTTCCAGAGCGGCGCAGATGGCACTGCTTCCAAGGCCCAGAGGACCACAGGAGGCCCAAATCGCCGCAGGAAGGCCTGAGACACTTTGGGGCAGGATCACCTCTGGCAACCTCCGACTGGCACTCATGCGACGAGCTTACACATGGAAGCGGCGTACAGCTTCTCGAAGGGAACGGTGTGGTCCTGCGGACATACCTATACTGCTGCTCCCCTGACCTCTCCCGAGGTAAACTCTCCGCAGGAATCCGAAACCAATCTGACCGTGGCGACAAAGGCCCTTCGGAGGCCCACAAAGACAACGGCGAGGGAACGGCACGGGTATAGGTACGTTGTTCCTCTGGGGTCCAGCTGCCCTATGGTGACTAGGGCCGCCTGCGTTTTGCGCAGCGTCGCCTCGTTCACCTCGAGAGAGCACGCCCACTCGGTGCCGTTCAGCCATTCCGCAGCGTCCTCGTCGCCGCCGCCATCGTCGACGGCACTGCCATCGCCTTCCTTGGCCTTGGGCATGTTTGGGTTTCTTTGTTGCTGGGCCTCTCGGAGCCGCTGTCGCCGAGAGAAACCTGCGAGCGGCAACACCCTCAGGCAGGGACTGGTGTCCCACCGAGCCCCTCCCCAGGTCTCCAGCGTGCGTCACGAATGAAAGACAGGGCGGGGAGATTCGCAACTGTTCGGCCCTGGGAAGCCACACTTGTCCTCCAGGACCATCAACAAACTTCTGTTCCCCCGCAGAGCACTTCGTCTCCCCATTTCGACTGCCAATCACACGCAGCCTCACACAGCCTGACAAGCCCGATGCGAAAGCCTTTGGCTCGCACAGCGAGGCAAATGCATGTGTGACCGAGCCGGTGCAGGAACAGTAGCACAGGGAAGAAAATGCAAACGCCATCACGAATAAGACGGATGGTATAAGCCAGTCGGTTCCGTGGATGGTGACCAAGCTAAGGTACAATGCTAAGCCCCTTGAACCTCTACGCAAACCTACACACCCCGAATTACAGTGCACAGCAAGACATGCAAGTAAATACCCTGTAAAAGCGAAGCGCCGAATCCGGGCGCGAGGAAATTGGAAACTGGGCGAGAATCGCACACCAGAAACTCTTAAACGACACAACTAAGTTAAGTGGTTGCGGCATGGCCGCCGAGAGACACGCAAACTACCAAAGATGAGAAACCAGCCAAGGGGGCGGGGGCGGCACCTCCAGCGACCCCGCAACTGAGCACATCACGACGTCGGAAACCTGGGTTCCTGGCTTGCTTCCCGAGGCGGTGCGAAGCGGCGCGGTCCAAAGCCTGCCCGCCAATGGGACGCAGAAGCGAGCAAATCTTCATCGACAGCGTGACCGTGGCTGGCAGAGAGTCCACTGCGGACTGGAGTGCACAGAGCACCCACGCTTCGACGAGGGCCCTTTGGGACGCGGAGGCTGCAGAGATGGCGCTGCGAAGCTATCGCCCAGGATATCCGTTGCCGCCGCGAGGCTCGTAGACCAATCCTGCTCCGCTCCACTGGGTCTCCTGCTGCCTACTCCGCTCATGCTCCGCCTCCCCCCCCCCTCTTCTTGCCTCTGCTCCTCTTGTGCCGACTTGGCGTCTTGTGCCTCACATGTTTGCCGCATCCCGCTCTTCCTCGGTGGTTCCCAAGCTTGCCGTTGGGCTTTCCAGTGGCTGGCTTCTCACTCCCATCATCCATGATCGATGGGGCTGCTGAGGGCAGGGCAGGGCGGGTGGGGGGGGAGCGACAGCACCACCGGCTCGTAATGACTGGCACAACCCTCCCCCCCCAGGGGCGAATGGCCAGCCACTCATTGTGGCTGACCCCCAAATGGCTAGCCCAGCCACCATGGGCCCTCTCTCTCTCTGTCTCTCTCTCTCTCTCTCTCTCTCTTTCTCCGACCGCATCCCCTCGGCAGGCCAGGGCTGAAACTGTGTGTGTGGGTGTTGTTACGTGTGTTTGTGCGTGCGTGTTCAGATCCTCCGAGGTCATGTTGCAAGGACCCAAAGCCTCCTCTTCCTCCCCCATTGTCACACGCTTCTCCTCTTTGGAAGCCGATGCAACCACGATCGACGAGCATGAAACGCACGCCCTCTACATCCTTCTCATCCTTCCCCCCGCTTTCTCCGTATCCTCCACCTCCTCGCCCTCCCGTTCCTTTTCCACATGTTCATATTTTTCCTCTTCACCTCTATCTGGCGTCCTCCTCATCCATATCATTATCATCCGATTCGCCCATCGCCACATCATCATTATCTCGAGGTTGTCTATCATAATTGGCCTCATCCTTCTCCGTTTCCTCGCCATGTCACATCCAGTTGTATCCACCTTCCAGAACCCTCCAGATCCCAACAGTACTCGTCAAAATCTGGAAACCTTCATTTCCCACCTGAGCGACGAAGAGAAACGGGTATGACGCACAGTGCCATAGCGACCTTAAGCAGCAAATTACGCGGGCCGCCAACATGGCACACCGCGTGGAGAAGAGGGCGCTCACGCGCGGCCATACTCGGGAAGCTTACGCGCGAATGCCGGCGTGGTTGACCCAATTCTTTTCCCGTCGCTCACCTAGTTATCCTCCCACCTCATGCGCCTTCTCATTATTCCTACCCGCCCTTCTCCTTCTCCTCCTCCTGTTGGAACATCATATCCTGCTCGTCCTGCAAGGCGTGGTGCTTGGCCACGTAGGCGAAAGTGGTTCCCCCGCTGTTCGCCTTAAATTCCTTGCAGACGGGGCTGGTGGCTTCGACTATTGCGCGGATCTCCCTCCCGTGGCTCTCGATGGCACGGTCAGAGGCCACTATCAGGAAACAAGGCCACGGAGTGGGCACTTCGCCCACGATATCCCACTCCCCGCTGTCCACCAGAAATTTGGTTGTGAACTTCTCCCACAACCACGCATCTATCTCTCCCTTGCCCATCGCCTCGCGAGCACCATCGAGGGTCCCGCAGAGCTTCAGGGGCGCATCCTTGCTCAAGTCCCAGCCACGCTCATGGGCCATGACGTAGGCCATCAGGTGAGAGCCGCTCAGCATCCTCGACACCCCGAAGACCTTGCCCTTCAGGTCGGCGATGCTACTAATACCGCTTCCTGGGGAATCAGAAAGATATTGCTCCCTGGACCTCTCCTAGGGAACGTCCTGACTCAGAATTCGAAGCGAATCCAGCAGTGTCGACGAGGGCCTCCCAGGAGGCACCCAAAAAGTTGGAGACGACGGAAGGGCAGTGTATCGGTACCTGCTTCTCCTCTGACTTCCTCTTTTTGTGTGAACGCCCCATCTCAAAGGCGACTGCACGTAGGTGCCCACAACCTCGGGAGCCAGAAATACAACACTCTCGTGGGCACGCTGCCACCGAAACCGGCGCCCTGTCAGAAGAGCCGTGCAGACCCCGGAGCGACAAGCCGCAACAGCCGGCCGCCCATCGGCGGGCGCTGACTGAGGGCGGGGCACAAACGGGTGGCGAAGAAAACTCCACCTTTCGCGCACTTCCTCCAGCCTCTGCCCCACCTTCCGCGCCTTCCACAAACCTCCGCGCCGAGGCTGCTCAAATGCGGCCCCTCCCGTCGGCCCCCCCGCGGGGGCGAGACACGTCGACTTCACGACGCCCAAGACGAGACCCGCTGTGGAACGCTCACAAAGACTGCCTCGTGGCCGCGCCGCCCCTCGCCCCGAGGGCGAGGCGTCGATCCCGCGATGCCCAAGACGAGGCCCGCTGGGGACCGCCCAGAGCACGAACGCTTCGTGGCCGCCACCCGCCACCTTGAAGGGGCCTCCCGCGGCTGCCCTCGCCACGGCCCCCTCGCTGAGCATGATGGCCACGTCCACCTCGTTGGCCTCCGGCGGCCACCTCCCCTCGCCCGCACAACCCTCCTCCTCCTCCTCCTCCTCCTCCTCCTCCTTCTCCTCCTCCTCTCCCTCCTCCTCCTCCTCCTCCTCCTCCTCCTCCTCCTCCTCCTCCTCCTCCTCCTCCTGGCTCCGTCCCCTCGTCCGCTTCCGAAAGCCTCCGTGGAAGGCGCCAGAGGCATTCAGAAGACCCCGAAAAACGAGAACAGCAAAAACCGTCCCAAAGCCTCGCTCCCAGACGTCCTAGGGAATGTGCTTGTCGTCAGTCCGCAGGCCGCAGAAGTCCCGACCCCTTTCCCAGAGTCTGCTGCTCGTCCCAGATCCACTCTTTGGATCGGCCCGGAGCCCGAAACGCTGGCCGCTCTGGAGGCCGAAGTGAGAAGGAGGAGCGCGCCAGGACGGAAACAGAAGCCCACTCCGCCCTGGGCGAGCGCTCCGCCACGGCTCCAGCGTCGATGGCCCCCCCAGTGCCACGCCGATGCATCGGCGATGCATCGGCGATGCATCGGCGATGTGTCGACGACGTCGGCGTGGGGAAACACTGGCTCCACAGCGAGCCGCATCGTCGAGGCATCGGCGCTGCGGCGCGCGATCCTCTCCGACCCCTCCTCTGCTCGGGCCCCCCCCCCTCCTCCGGGAGGCCCGGACCCCCGAGGGAGGCCTGGGCAGCGGGCCCCCCCATGGAGGCCGCGGCCCGAGGAAGCCCCGCGCCGGGACGGAGCAAGAGGCATCGCCCTCCTACCCCTCCTCCTCCTCCTCCTCCTCCTCCTCCTCCTCCTCCTCCTCCTCCTCCTCCTCCTCCTCCTCCCTCCTCCTCCTCCTCCCTCCCTCCCCCTCCCCCTCCTCCCCCTCGACCTCCTCCGCCACACAACCAGGGGACGCGTGGAGCCCCCGCCTCCGACCTCGTGTGGGGGCTCGCGAGCGGGCCCCAAACGTTTGGGGGCCATGCGCGGGGAGGCACGGCCAGGGAGCGCCCACCTGTGACAGGGATGCACCCGAGAGTGGCCCCCAGGGGTGCGCATATCCCCGAGCCCCCCCCCCCCTCCTCCTGCCATCGCTCGGACGTCCATTCCCTGTTTTTTTTTCGGTTTCGTGCGTGTTTTTTTGCCAAATGATCAAGGATGCTCCTCGATGGTCCTCGACGAAGGAAACACGCACACGTCCGAGCGATGCCAAGTCCTTCTCTGAGCGGCGCCCGACTCGTCGTGGCCGAGTCGGGTTTTTGTTGGGGGGGGCGAGAGGTCGCCTGCGAGCACGGCCAATCCACGGGGGCCCTCCTCCCCAAGCCACCGACGCCACGACTTGTGTATGACGCCGACCCCCAGAAGTCCCGACACATTCTCCGGAATGGCATTTCTAAAAGAAGAATTGAAAACGGCATTAACATCAACTGTTGGCGCGCCGCGCGGATTTCTCGGATCTGCGCTGGACCCCCCTCCCTGGCGCGCTCCGCGCGCCAGGGGCGGCGCCAGAGGCGCCGCTGGGGGGACCCAGCGCGGATCCAAGAAATCCGCGCGGAACGCCACAAATTTATGTTTGTGGCGTTTTCCCATCTCTAGTGTTCACACTGAGTCCTTCCTCAACGGTACTGGGGCCCGGCGAGGGCCCCCGGAGGCAGAAAAGCGCGAGCAACCCACCGTCATGATTGTTCAGTGACCCGAGGGGGTCCGGGTCGGACGAGCCTCCAGCTTGTCGCACATGGCCCCGGTGCCCTGCGGCACGGTCACCCACTCGAGGTCGACCCCCCGGGCCTCATACAGCCCCCGCTCCTGGGGCGGCACCCCTCTCACGAAGGGGCCCATGGGCACACAGCTAGACAGGCACAAGTCCCAGGATTCCCACATATATATATATATATATATATATATACATGTTATGCTATACATATGTGTATATATATATATGTGTGTGCGGTCGATGGTTTGGGCCCCCCCCAATGCTAATGCCATCGCCCCCCCCCCCCGCGCGATGCCCCCCCCTCCCCCGCCCTGTGGGCGTGGGCGTGGCGTGGTGGCTCCCCCGCACTCCCCTGTGGATGTGGTGTGGGTGTGGTGTGTTGCTGTGGGTGTGTGTGCGGGGTGACGCCATGGTCCTCCCCCCCTCCCTCCCCCCCTGATGGTGCGGTGTGGGTGCGGCGTGTGGCTGGGATTGGCGTCATGTTGACAGCTCCGGTGCTCGACGTCGTCGCCGCCGCTGCCGCTGGTGGTACCGTCGACGTCGTCGTCGTTGTCGTCATCGTCGTCGTTGTCGTCGTCGTCGTTGTCGGTGTCGTCGTCGTCGTCGTCGTCGTCGTCGTCCTCCTCCCCTCCTCCTCCTCCTCCTCCTCCCTCCTCCCTCCTCCTCCTCCTCCTCCCCCCCATCCCATCTGGGGGGGGGCCGAGGACCCTGTGGCCCATGCCATCTGGGTGGGGGGGGGGGCGTGGGCCCTGAGCCCGCGATGATATATCTATATATATATATATACACATAAGATATATACATGTATCTACACATTATATATATACATATCATACATACACCCACCACGTTTGCTGGATGCCCGTCCTCCCCCCCAGTTCCCATAGTTCCCATAGTTCCCATTCTGTTCCTGGGAATCGACGTTTATTTGCGTCGGTGTGCAGCTACTTCCTCTTCATGAACTCGGCCGCCTCCTCCCCCCGCCTCCCAGCCTCCCCCCCCCCTCGGCCACGCGCCAATCCGAAGAGGCAAATGCACCGATGTACCACTACCCTTCCCTCTTTCTCCCCTTGCTGGGGCCTCCTGGGAGGCCCTCGTCGCCAGGGCTGGACTCAGACTTCGGAATCCAGGGGTTCTGGGAGTAGCATCAGGTCGGGCATGTCCTCCTACAGGGGGATTTCGGAAGGAAAACAAAAACCCGGCTTTGCTTCAAGAGAAAAAAGTAACAGAAGCATCGTCCCTCGACTCTCATGTGCCTATGTTTGCGTACTCCTCATGTGGAGGGACATGCCATGCCCGACTTGAGAGTAGCGGTCTCGGTACCTTGTGGTGTCTCCGGCCAGAGCGACCCTGGGGGGATGGGCGCTCGCCATCGCTCGGACGTCCATTCCCTGTGTTTTTTTTCGGTTTCGTGCGTGGCTTCTTCGCCAGATGATCAAAGATGCTCCTCGATGGTCCTCGCCGAAGGAAAAATGGCACACGTCCGAGCGATGCCGAGGGCGAGGGCGGCCCCTGGTGCGCGGCATCCTGGGGCCGCGAGGGGGGGGCGAATCAATCCAGGCGCGCAGGGGCCAGCGCAGGGGGGAACCCCCACGGGGGGCCCCTGCGCCCCCGGCACGAGGAGGACGCTCCGCCGAGGGGCCACTCTCGCGGGCGCAGGCGACCCCCTCCTCTCGCTCCCGCTCTCCTCCGCCCCGAGCCCTCGCTCTCCCCTCTCCCCCCTCCCACCCCGCCCCGCCCCCCCCCCCACCCATCCTCGTCCCCCCCTCCCACCCCCCCCACCCACCCCCTCCCACCCCCGCCCCCCCCTACTCTCCTCCCCCCCCTCCCACCCCTCCCACCCCCCCCACCCGCCCCCCCCCCCACCCATCCCATCCCCGGCCCCCCTGTGCGCCCGCCCCCCCCCGTCCCCCCCTGGCGTGTGGGCCGCGGGCCGGCCGGCCGCTGCCGGCGAAGGGGTCCTCGATCGAATCGAGGCTCGAAGTGCCGGGGTACCTGCGCCGCACCTGCTGCCGCACCGGGCGGCTGTTCGCCTGGTACTGAGGGCCCTGGCCCCTTCACATGCAGTGGGCGCGTTGGATAAGGAACCATTGGATAGGAAGTAATCCAGGGTCCGGAAGCGGGTGGAACTGCAATCGTGAACTGGCCATGGATATCACCTTAGCCCTCATCAGAGAAGGGCCCCCCAGGGTCTGAAACCTCCAGGGCAAATTCCTGAACCAACTCCCCCACCGTATGATCTGGCTCGAGAGATGCAGCCGAGAGGTGGGGTCGGGGGCTCTGGTCGCCATCAAGTTCGCTACGATGTTCCAACTTGTGTCGCAACGTCGGGTCTCAGATGATTGTGTTGAGCGTTTTGGGCAGGGGTGGACTGAGAATTGCGCAGGCTGGAACCGAGGATCCCCCCCCCTTTCCAGGGGGGGTGCTCTGGAGGCCTCTGGAGGCCCCAGGGACCCCTGGGGACACCTTCGGGGGCCCTGCCCCTCGGCGCAATGTTCTGTTTTCTGCGCACGGGGAGGCAGGGCCGCAGCCAAAGATGCGGCGAAGGGAGGGCAGCATGGATTCTAACACTGCGATCCGCGACGCGCGGGGCCCGATGAAACTACTCTGGGCGCACTCCCGCCGTCCCAGTACACGATGCAGGGTGCCTCTGCGGCAGATGCTGGGGCAATGCTTCGCATGAGAACGTTCCGATCTCAATCGCCGCACGCGTGGGCACAACCCAAGCCAGGTGTCGCTCGATGGAAGCCCAATGGGGGTCCGAAAGCGATACGACAACGTTGCGGCGGTCGAAGATGCAAGAGGAGACAAGCAGGAAAGCGGGACACGGGAGAAAAAGAGGCCCCGTGCCCTTCGCGAGAGGGATTCCGAACGCGCTATGGGAATGGCGAAAAGCGACTATATATATTTTTTGAAAAATAATGATACTACTACTACTACTACTACTACTACTACTACTACTACTACTACTACTACTACTACTACTACTACTACTACTACTACTACTACTACTACTAACTACTAACTACTAACTACTACTAACTAACTACTACTACTTACTACTACTACTCA